TTCTCCCTCTGACCCTTCCCCCTCTCATATGCTCTCTCTCTCTCTCTCTCTCTCTCTCTCATTCTCTCTCTTTCAAATAAATAAATAAAAAATCTTTAAAAAAAAATAGGAAGATGTGGAGAAGGGCCACAGCCGATTCTCAGTGGGCGCTGAGGGGAGTGAGAAATTACATACTGTTGTAATTCACTGAGATTAGGAAATTGTTACTGTAGCATAACTTAGTCCAACCTGACTGATTACAGAAAATAAACTTAGTTTCTAGCTTTCCAGTTCTGCTTTCCTTGAGAGTTGATTTGTTTCATTCCCCACGAAATCCTCTGAGATCACTTAAGTGGGTTTTCTGTTCCTTATAACCAAGAGTCCCTGATAAAATTGATAACAATATTATTTAGAACTATCTTGTTCTTAATTTTTTACCATGTAATGGGTTCTATCCTCCTCTGAGCCAAGGTTGAGTTATATGCATACACACATTTTGAGAAATACTTAGATGAGAGAATTTACTGTACTGAAAGTAAGGATAATTTTTGACTGTGCATTATTCTTATTAGTCAATAACAGGTAGCTATGATAATTTTCTCTTTATGCAAACTGTGACTTGACCTGAAATTTCAATTGGTAGCATCATTTCATGGTATATACGGGAAGAACAATTTCTGCTACTTCAGAGGGATAACACTGTCTTCATTGGAGAATCTGAAAAAACTGAGTGATATCAACTATCATTTTAGCATCATTACTGAAAAACAAAATGCCTTTGTTTAATATATAAATAAATCTTTGTGTAGTGTTTTTATTCCTTGAGCTTACTTCAACTGAATATTCTCTGGACTCATGAGGCTGTGGCTCACCCTTCTGGGGTACCTTCAAGAGTAGACTTTTACTGCACCCTGTGCTCTGAAAGGAGCAAGCAAAATATCCCAAATTAGGGGATGAGGTCTTATGAAATAATTGTTGACTAGTGAGACAACTGTTTTATATAAAGCTTTCTCTTGTGCCAAACTGAAATGAGTAAGTTATACGCATTTAAATTATTTTTTCCAAAATATTTCCACAAATATAGATTTGTGTGTAGGAAGAATGGAACTCAGTGGCTGCACTAGATCTGGAATGGGATCCCCTGTCATCTAGCTCTTTCTATTATGCCTCAGTACAAAGAGGAACAACTGACTTCTCTGATACATTATCCTTAATATTTGCATCACTGTGCACAGAATGTTCTGACTGTACTAGATGTAAATTTAAAAAATATAAAAAAAATGAAGATCTGCTATCTGTTATATTTATCATAGGAACATCTAGATTATATCGTGTTTACTGCTGATAGTTAACCAAATACCATTTTGGTTACATTAAATAACACTTTGCTACACAAATACTTGATGAGATACCAACATACTACAAAGCAGATATTTTTTCCAGAATACTTTGAAAATGAAAGCATAACTGATAGTTTATTTTAAAATGTCGCTGGGGTACCTGGGTGGCTCAGTCGGTTGAGCATCTGACTCTTGGTTTAGGCTCAGGTCATGATCTCAGGGTTGTGGGACTGGGTCCTGCTGGGTGCTGCATTCGGGGTGGGAGTCTGCTTGTCCCTCTCCCTCCCCAGCTGCTTCCCGCCCCCACTCCCACACCCTAGCTCTTTCTCTAAAATAAATAAATAAAATCTTTAAAAAATAAAATAAAATGTTCCTTAAATTGTAAATCTTCTAAGAGAAAAATAACATTTGAGACAAAATTCAGAGTGGTTAGTACAGAAAGGAAAAGAAAATCTTTGCTCAATAGCACAAATACAACAGAATAGTTTCAAATGTACTGATTCAGATTGATAAAACACACCAGGAATTCGAGGATAATGTTAGATTTAGAAATGTGAATTGCTAAAATTACAGAATAGTAATAATTGTTCCAATTGCCTATTTGAAAGTATCTACAAAATGATTTTTTTGTGTAGCAATTCTTTATACCAAACTAAGTTGGATAAAGGAATATAGCAAGTGCTCCTACTAAATGAAAACTGTTACCAGGTATTTGTCTTATATGGCTACTTGATGCAGTATTACTTTTCATGGATTTTGAAAGTCATATATGTGTGAGAAGTATTTTAATTTGGTCAACTGACAACTAATGAATTTCAACCAGTTGTTTTTAAAACGTCTTTAAAAATAAATTTCAGCCATTTTGTCTTAAATGTGTAAGATGATGACTTAGAGCTCGAGGGAAATACTTATTCACAGAATTTTTTATCCCCAGAAATGACTAATTAATATGGTAGAACATTAATGAAAACTTTCAGGTCTAGTAATAATGTGTGTTGATAACTTACTGCCCAACTTTGGGGAAACTACTTAATGTAATTCTTTGCTCTCTTATGTTTTGAAGGGCATAGAAATTCTGTCCCATGGGCTGTTGTGGAAACAGAACATACACAGACTATATGAGAAAATCCAGCATTAACACATTAACTATTTTATTAAGAATATAAGATGGGGGAGTAATATTTGTTGTTCACCTAAGACGGTAAGCAAATGTTAAAATCTGTCATCTTTCTGCCTTATTTTTTGGCAGTTTAATAATTCTGATATTGATTGAACAAAAATTATACTTATTCACTATTTTGGAAAAAGTGTGCAAAAGATCAGAGAAGAAATTTTTTTTTCAACAAACCAACCTTCCTTTTCTAGCTTACTTACATGTCTTACATGTCATGTCTCAAGGGCTTTGACATTATTGGTTTTTTAACAGACATCCAAATTTCAACCCAGTCCACACCAGTGTCCACTCACCATTTCCATTACCCATAAAATGAGTGATTTAACATTTCAAATCTATACAGGGCTTGACAAAGATTAAAAGGTTGCTTTTGGTTTTAATGGATAAAGTATAGACTCTTCACAGAAAAATAATGCTGTGGTTTGACCATCCTAATGAGTGCGTGACTCTTAAGTTCTTTTTTCAGTCAGGGTGATTAATTTCTTAGTTCCAAGGATAGTTTTGAAAAGTAACTTAACATAGGCTATAGTTAGCAGTTTAAGAGTGAAATCATAACATGAAGAAAAAAATTGGCCCTGAACTCAAGTTTTGAAAACTTTCAAAATAAAATATCATTTTAAAAAAGTTAAATTGAAATTGTTTTAAAAATAGATGCATATGCCTAATAGGGCTCAAATTTGTGCTGACTTAAATTTCCATCAGTACGAATAAGATTTAATAGGTTATATGTGAGAACCCAGATAACCATAAACACGGGTCACATTCAATTAAGACTGAATTGAGAAAACCTCCTTGATTGCTGAAAAAAGGTGATATCCATATTTCTTTTCTTGTTCTTCCAGCCTGAACCCTATGGTCTCTCTCAGAGACTAGCCTTTCTAGTCTCCAAGAAATGCTGGGAAACCTTAGTGGGGCATAGCTGAGGCCTGAACACCATCTTTACTGCCCTACCTGATCCTTGGGCTTGCAACTCAATGATGTGAAGAAAATCTCCCTACATTAATCCTGAATCCCTGCCTTACCCTTTGCATCCCAACCAAGCAAATTATTTAAAAATTATAAGTGAAATTTATACACATCTCCTCAAGAGTGGTTCCCTTCCTTCTAAGCAGGGTGGGCATAATATTATAAAGATCTTTTTCCTCATGAAGCTTATTTTCTAGTATGTGTGGAGAGGAGCAATAGATAAATACAAAAATAACATGATAATTACAATACATAGCATGCCAGTTAGGGGTGTCTGAGACTAGAGGCAGCAACTGTGTTCAGAAGGGTCTCACTGCAAAGATGACATCTGAGCAACAATCTAAGGAGGCAAGAGAGTGAGCCATTCGAATACAAGGTATTTATTGGGTAAGACTGTTCCAATCGTAAAGAACAGCGAATGCAAAGGCCCGGGGGCCGGAAGGTGTCTGATGTTGGTTGAGGGACAGTGCAGCTGGAGCAAAGGGAATGAGTGGGACGAAATGAGGTCGACGAGGCCAAACGTGAACAGGTCAAGCAGGTCCTAGTGGACCATTCTAGGGACCGTCTAAGAAATGTGGGGGACAAATGGAGAATTCTGAGCAGAGGAGCGGCTTACCTAAACGTTGTTAAAGGCACCCTTCTTGAAGCTGGCTTTGGTGGAGGCGCCATCAAAAGAAACCAGAAAGATAAATCTGTTGGTAACAGGTGCCTCAAAGCTTTCAAAGACAACTACTGAAAGAGGAAAAGGGTTGAATCCTGGACAAATTCGTGTGTGGCGATTGGGAGGATGTGGTTACCCTGGGATACACATCTGCCTAGCTTTCAGGACCACACAGAAACCTCTGGTCCTGCTACTTCAGCCCCAGGTCCCTACCCCCAGGGAGGGTCAGGACCCGCAGCCATCAAGCCTTGTTGCCGTGGCGACCACAGGATTCTTTTTTTCCTCGGTTGCACCACCTCCGCCGCCTGGGGGCAAAGCACCCGGTCCCGCACCCGCTCCAGCGCGGACACCCGGTCTGGCCCAGGGCGGACTCATCAGTATTCCACCCGCGGAGTTCTCCCCGCCCCCGCCGCGAGTCACAGCGCCCGCCTACCCCGCAGCTCCAGCCTTCGGCGTTTCGCGCCGCCCCACCGCCCCCATTTCGTTCCTGGGGACCGCAGCCGGATCTGCCCTGGAGCGTTCCTGGCAGCCCCGGGCTCTGGCGTGCCTCGGCCCAGTTACGCCGCGCTTTCCAGCAGCCCGGCGGCAACCGCAGGCTGCGCCTCCGCCGCGGAGCTGGGACGCCCCGTGCTAGGCAGTGCTTCCCGGGACACCGGTTCTCAGGCATCCCCGCAACAGCTCTCTGGGGATATTCAACTCCCCTGCGCTCGGTTTAAGGTCCCCCTGCGCTTCTGCAGTGCACCAGATGGGGGAAGCAGATACAGGAGAACCTGCATTGCACCCCCACTGGGATGCACTGTGCGCAATAGGGAGACCGTCTGCTGCAAAACCGGAGGATCGGAGGCGAGGGGAGTTAGGGGTGGGTTTTCTTAGGACTCACCTTGTGCAGTTTCCACATGGCCCCCAGAGCTTTGACTTCATGGCTGGAGTGTTTGCCCTCCTCCAAGCACTGGTAGCACACAGGCATCTTGCACTGCACGCAATACATGCTGTGGTTCTCCAGCTCGTGGTCTGTGCAGGTGGAGACCTTGCGCGGGCTCAGCCGCCGGCTCACGCGGCCCTGGGCCGGGGGCACCAGGCGGTGCTTGGCTAGGGGCCCTCGGGGCGGGTGGCAGCGCAGGCGGCATGGATCGCAGTAGAAGACATCGCACTGTTCGCACATGACGGTGGCCTCCTTAGGCGCCTTCTCGCAGAGCTGGCACTTGAGGGCTGCGGCTTTGCTCTGCTGGTAGCGGTCAATTACCCCTTCCAGGACGCGGTTCTTGGGGAAGCCGCGGAGCCCCCGGTCATCCAGTATGAGGCTGCGGTGGCACTGGGGGCAGGTGATACAGGAGTTGCGGGGCACCGGGGCCAAGGCCGGTGACAGGTGGGTGGCCGGTGGCGGCATAGCCGGGGGGAACACGCGGACGCCATTGGGGGACTTCTGGCACGGGGTAGTGGGGGCACTGGCGAAACCCCCATAGGAACCATAGCCGCTGTCTGCTTCGCTGTACAGGCTCATCTTGTCCAGGTCCAGATAGTCATAGTCGGAGACCCCGGAGCCCGAGGCCCGACGGCTCTGGGGGGATTCAGACTCCGGGGTCTGTACCAGGATGTTGCGGGCGCACGCTTGACATAAATTGTGAGAGCAGGGCAGAATGATGGGCTCCCGATAAAAGGAGCCGCACACAGGGCATTTTAACTCTTCTTCCATCTCTTCCATGAGGACCGGGCTGGGAGCGAAGCCGCGGCAGCTGCAACGGGTGCCTGAGCTGGCGAAGCGGTCGACCGGCCTGTCGTATCCAGCACCCTGGCCAGCGGCGGCGGCGGTGGCGCCTTCCCGCGTCGCTTGGGCGCCGACTCCCTGTGAGGCGCTCTGTCTCGGAGCCACTGTCTCTGTGAGCCACCGGACCGCGACGCCGCGCGCCAGCCCGGGACCGCCCCCTTCGAGTCCCGCCCTACCCTGTAAACAGCGGCCCATTGGCCGACGGCGAGAGGGCGAAGCTCTCATTGGCCACACGCTCCGTCCTTCACCTCTCTTCTGCGGCCACATCGGGTTTGGTAGCCGACTCTGAGGATGAGCGACTCTTCGCTCCCGGCTGCTAGATCTCGGGAGGGGGCCGGCGTGCGGAGGCGAGGGACCGGGAAGGAGGAATTAGGCGGGTTGACTCATCCCCTCGCCCCGCTTCCTTCCGACCTCCGGTGCAGTCACCCAGGAGCAGGGGGCGTGAGAAACCCCTCCCCGCAGCTAGTAGGCCGGCGGAGGGGGCTGGTGCTTCTAGCCAACTGTCTGCGTTTGGCTTCCAGCTCTGGTCTCCGCACCGACCTACCACCGGCGAGGGCTGAGCGCCTGAGAGCCCCCTCTCCTTCCGCTGCTGGCAGCTTGGGTTGGCGCCTCACCCAGGCCTCGGTTTTTGTGCCGCAGCCGGGCTTTTCTCCCCTCCAGGAACGCGGTGCAGCCTGGCCCGGGCGCTCCCCCCTCCTGGGAGTCTGGCGCGCCGGGCATAAGTCCCAGGAAGAGCCTCTTTGCTGCTTTCACCCTCAGTCCCTCGGGCCTAAGAGGGGATTAATAATACCAATTTCTTAGTGTTGCCGTGAGATTGAAGCTAGGTGACCGATGTAAAGGTTCAGTGTCTTAGTTAAAATCTCTGCCCCTTCATTTCCCGCTTTAAATTCAGGCTCGGCCCAGAGGCTTTCTCATGGCGCGGTGTGAATCTTATGGTGTGAACGTGCCTCTCTGCCCTCTTCACTCTCCCTGCCTCTCAAAGCTGTGCTGTCACCCTACTCTCAGCACCTGGCTGAGCTTTCGCGAGGCCAGCAGTACCTTTGGCTCAATACGGGTTGCCTATTTCTCAGTGCCCACAGTTTAGTAAACTAGCGGCGGATGAATCACTATGTCACTGCAGAGTCTCAGTGTTTGAATCCAAACAGCATTATTCGGTGTCACGTGGCCTGAGCATTTACCACAGCTTCAGAATGGTGGTTTTTTTCTGTTTCCTCCAGTGAAGTGCGTTGGGTGATGGTGCTGGTGGAGGGGTGCAGGTAGGGGCATGGGGCGAGATCTAGTGTTAGTCCTCATATATTAAGCACCCTTCTTCTCTGTCTCCAAATATTGATGAAGATATCTTGTCCTGTCCCTTGCCCACAGAATTGTTGACTTGATGATGTAGGAGGAGGAGGAACTCCCTCCCCGCCCCCCGAAAAAAGAAAAAAAAATCTTTGAGTCAAGTGACAGCGACATTCTGAGATAGCAGCTTATTTGAAATAGTACATGACTGCCTTTTGCTGATTCATAAATAAATGGCAAAAACTCTTTCCAAGGTCTAAGAAATCTTCCATTTTTCATCTTCTGAAAAAGATATAACTTGATTATATGCAGCAACATTTACAATTTAAAAGCATTTTGTTGCCCAGTAAAAAATGGCCCATAATCCTGCCCTTGGAGAAATAGTCCAATAAACTAGATTATCTTTCCGAAACCTTCCTCAGTTGCAATGAAAACAGCACTTGATTATTGTTGGGGGGTGGGTTCTCATTGTTATTTAAAGTTATGCTAACCACAAATGCTATATGATTTCTTTTTAATCTGGTTTTTAACTAGCTAAGTCCAGAGCATCCAAAGGCATATGTACTCTGTTTACAGCCATAGAATTTCTTCATGTGGACTTGGAACATTATCTGTATCTGCAGGATGTATCCAATTTATGGGTCCCAAGAGAATCCGCTAATACCAAATAGTTGTTGAGAAACTGTTAGAAAAGATTGTCAGTACCACGCATAATTTAATATATAAAAATACATAAAAATCCTTTCCAGAATTTTTGTATACATCTGGCTGAAAGTCACAGTAGCCTTGGGCCAGGGCTATGGACATGTCAAAGTGAGCAGCAAGTATTCTCTTTATGAATTTGACTTTGCTTATCATAGTATACCATCTGTTATAGATTCAATGTGTCTCCCCAAAATTCATATCTTGAAATCCTAACCCTCAAGGTATTAGGAGGTGGGGCCTTTGGGAGGTGATTGGGCCATGAGGGCAGAGCCTTCATGAATGGGGTTAATGCATTTATAAGAGTGGCCCAAGAAGCCTTCTTTGCCCCCTTCCACCCTGTGAGGTTACTATGAGAAGCCACCGTCTATGACGAAGCAGACCCTCACCACATGGCAAACCTGTGGACACTCTGATCTTGTAATCCCCAGCGTCTAGAATGTGAGAAATAAATTTCTATTGTTTATAAGCTACCCAGTCTGTGATATTTTGTTTTAGCAGCCCAAACAGAAAAAGACACCATCTGAGAGGTCTGCTTATTAGCAGAAAACATATCCTAAGTTAAAAATAAAGAATAATTTTAGGGAATGTCTGCGGTGTAATACACTGTTGGTTTCACAGAGACTCAATAGAATACAGATTTATAATATAACCAATAAATGAAGAATGACCTATTATGAAATATATTGAGGTGATTTAATTGTTAGATCTATTTGGCCAGGAATTAGCTAAATCAATCCCAGGAGAGCTCTTAAAATGACTGTCATTTGTTAAGTGTTCATTCTGTTTTAGGCAGTGGGTTTATTTATTTACATGGATTACCTAGTTCAATCCCTGTGATAACAAAAAGAGGTGGGCATAATTATCCTCATTTTAAAGATGGGTAAATAAAGTATTCAAGGTCAAATACTGGTGAGGCTGGGATTTGAATCCAGGCACATGTAATTTTGCTTCCTTGTTCGTTTGTTCATTCATTCATTCATTCACTCATTCATTTGACAAATGCCGAGTTTTCTCTCTGTCAAGCTCTGTGTATAAGAAAAACTCAAAATCATCTTTGTTAACTTCTATGTTATTCTGTTTACCTTCCCTGAGAGTTTGTGGTTTTTCTTGAATTCATTTCTCTAAAAAGTTTTTTGTAAACTTTTGAAGATTTCCCCCTCATGCTGCACTGTGTGGCCATAATGTACATTAAAGTCCTCCAATGAGTTATGTTTAAAGGGAAATAAAAATCTGAATGTAACTGATGGTATTATAGAAATGGTAGGGAATATCTTCCTTCTTCCAGCTGGTGATCAGCCAGTGCCCAGAAGCATGAGGATTCAGAGGCCTGTAATTTTATCATTCCTGGGGTGACTGCAGATGTTCTCATTTGTGTAAAGTGCTTTATTATCCTCTAAAACTTACTCAACTATGCACCCAAATGATGTTTTTTTAAAAAAGATTTTATTTATTTATTTGAGAAAGTGGGCACGCACCAGCTGGGGGGTGGGAGGGATTGAGGAAGAAGGAGAAGCAGACTCCCTGCTGAGCAGGGAGCTCTACACACCCCAATCCTAGGACCCATCCTTTTCTTTTTCACACAACGGTAAATAAAGATGTGCATTATGAAACCTGCAAAAGGAAATGTAATTATTGACATGGAAAGCACAATAGAACTCACAATTAACAAACACTGGGAAAATATTATGCGAAACGCTATGACAACAAAATTTAAAGCCTAAAGGAAATGAATATGTTTTCAGTCAAAATATTTTAACTTAATTAATCCTTCAAATCTAGCATCGATATGGCATTAGCTTTCTTTACTGGTATCCAACTCAGTATTCTCAGAATTGGATACCTTTATGTTTTTATGGAAATTGAACTGAACTTTTGGCTCGTCAGTATGTCAAGGTTGATTTTTTCCTCATACAGAGCACTGAATAGTCAAGTATATTAAATTGAGATCTTAAATTAATGGATTCCATGTAAGTTATACAGTCTTAATTTTGTACTTGTAAATAGCACTGCATAGGTTCTCTACCTACAATACTCCAAGAAGTAAGATAGCACAGGTGTTTAAAAGGAACATTTTAAACAATCAGTTAATTTACTGTGTAAAACTGCTGTAAAGGATAATGTATACAGATTTTTGTTCAAATATTCTATTGTAAACTTGTTAAGACTGTTATGTTTTTATTGCTTTTGTATGGAATGACATTGCAAAAGTTTAAAAAGAACCTTCAAAAAAAAGATGTTCAAATGCTCTCAAAGTAGAAAGCTTGAGTAGACCAACTTCCAGAAAACAAATTTGAAAGGTAATTTCAAATTAATCATTGAAAAAGATAGGATGGTTGCATGGATGAGTTCTAGTTAACTTTAAAAAAAACAAGTAACTTTAGGGGCGCCTGTGTGACTCAGTCGGTTAAGTATCTGCCTTCTGTTCAGGTCATGATTCCGGAGTCCCTGGATGGAGCCCCGTGGCCCTGTGTTAGGATCCCTGCATGGGGAAGTCTGCTTCTCCCTCTCCCTCTGCTTCTCCTGCCCCCTGCTCGGGTTCTCTCTCACTCACTCACTCTCTCTCTCAAATAAATAAATAAATAAAATCTTAAAAAAAAAACCCAAGTGATTTTAATGTTCTTGAAATAATCTAAATTAAAGAAAGATATAGAATGGGGTGCCTGGGTGGCTCAGATGGTTAAGCATCTGCCTTCGGCTCAGGTCATGATCCCAGGACCCTGGGATCGAGTCCCGCATCGGGCTCCCTGCTACTTGGGAGCCTGCTTCTCCCTCTGCCTCTCTCTCTCTCTCTTTCATGAATAAATAAATAAAATCTTAAAAAAAGAAAAATATAGAATGTTCCCCAGTCTGCTTTATAAAGCCATCATAACTTTAGTAATTTTTTTAAAGTAGTCCCCACACCCAGCATGGAGCCCAATGTGGGGCTTGAACTCATGACCCTGAGATGAAGACTTGAGCTGAGATCAAGAGCTGGAGGCTTAACCTACTGAGCCTCCCAGGTGACCCAGTAAAATCTGATAATATAGTTAACAGAAAATGCAATAAATAAAAA